TGGCCCTAATCTTCTGCCCTACCTGTCTGTTGATGTGGATCAATAAATATGGGTTTTATTTATAAACACAGAGGGAGCTCTGCTTTGTCTGGAGTTACCTGCAGCGAAATGCAGGGGTGTAGATTTGCGTCCAGCCATGTCTTTAGCGTTCACATTCACTGCATCCACCAGCTTCTTTACTCTGGAAACATCTCCGTTCCGACAGGCTTCAAACAGCTCTCTAAAAGCGCCGTTTGCATCGCCGCTAACAGCGCTGCTGCTGCTGCTGCTGCCGGGGTTACCGCCGCCAGAGTCCGGCGTAGAGCCGGGGCTACTGTCGCCTCCCTCGGTGGTGGTCGGGGAGCTAGTAGCGCTGCTGCTGGGAGAGAGGGCCACAGCCGGGGAGGAGATGCTGGGAGAGGTCGGAGCTACCTCACCGTCAGCCACGTTCCCCGCTCCAAGGGGAGGCCTGCCGGCCGCATCTTCGGCAGGTGCAGACGGAGAGCCCGGCGGGCTGAGGAGGGTAGAAGCACTGCGGGGAGGCGAGGACAGCAGGGAGCACGACTGCTGCTGCTGCTGCTGCTGCTGGGAGCAGCGACGAGGCGTCGCCATTTTCACAACACAACGGTCCCCCAGCAGCAACAATAACACCGCTGACAGCTTCCTGCCAGAAAGACAAACTTCCGCCCGGGATCACCCGGGATTTCAGCCGCTAGATAATAAGTCTTTAAACACAAAATATAAAGCGTCTGATTAAAGTTAAAGACATATTTTGAGTAAGAAATTTTTAAAAGGTGATTACTATCAAAAAGTTTTTTCTTTTTTTTTATTTACAATTTTTTTCTTAAACGACATCTTGTTGCTGTTGATCTTACAATAATTCTTATGATCTATGTACATACATTTATTTTATTAGTACCTGGGTTATGTCCTTAAAGTCAGTTTTAGTGGTTCATAATTGGTTTCTGACTGAACAATACTGACACCTAGTGGTAACTCTGGAAAACAGCTGATAGGTTGAAATGTCAGGCTGCATAGTGAAGCAAATAAATGGTTTCTCTCCCACTATTTTGGCTTTCTCCTAATAAACAAAGTATGACTTTTAGGTTAATCGGTTTCTCTATTACGTAGGGAGTACTTGCCTCGGTTGCTCTGTCATTGACAAAAGCACAAATGAAGTCCCCAAGGCACATGCTTTATTTTCAAAACATATGTGCGAAACATAAGATGACATTATTAATGTAGTTAACACAGCACAGAAAAAAACTTGGCAAATTATTTTTTTTATGACCTTACAGGTTGGGAAAAATTCTATTGTCTTTATTTTTCCTTTTACGCTTTTAGTTTTCTGAAGGCAGTGATCTCCCCACTGGTGGGAATGTAAAAAATAAATACTTAATGTGACAGAGCAAAGTGTGTCTATGTAAACAATAATGAGGATGTTTTTACATTTTGAAACAAACCCTGTGCAAAATCAGGTGGTGTTTTGCAAGAACGTTACAGCTGTAACACTACTTCGCCACCAGGTGGCAGCAAATATTATGGAATGTCGCCCTAGGTTATAAATTCTTTACAAATCCTAAAGCTGAACTCAAACAGATATGTATATCCTAAAATGTATAGAGTTACTTTTGTGGTTTCATTAAATTAAAGACAACGCATTATTGAAAGGGGAAAATTATTTCAAGTTTTTAGAGGAAAGTTTGTCATTTATTAAATAAAAGATACATTGATGTTAGGAAAATAAATTCACAGGGAAATTTTTTTTGTTTGTTTGCTTGTTTTTTGCAATCAGGGTGAAAATATTTTCTTTCAGAAATTCATTTCTCTCTCACGCCCACGACCCATTTTTTCTCATCGAGAGAAATTTTCAGAAAAGAGAGCAAGGAGTTTTGGGAAAAAGAGGGGAAACAAGTTGTTGAGAGAAGTCTGTTTTTGAAACAAAATGTTTATTCTGATTGCAAAAAACAAACAAACAAACAAAAAAAAGAGTAAAAATATATTTTTCTGAGGGCTTTTCTCAATTTATCTTTATTTATTCTATGAGAAAATATTTTTTTTCTCTAAAAACCTTTTCTTCAGTAACATCTCTAATATATCAATTTTACTTTCCCCTATCAGACTTCTTTTTTTCTTATATTTAATAAAAGCACAAAAAATAACTCCATAAGTATGAAGAAGATCTTTATTTTGACCTAAACGTTAGATTTCAAGAATCTAATCAGGTTTCAGAACTGCTATTAGTAAAATATACAGTAAGAATATCAATTCTTCCCTCCCTTTTCAGGGATTAGTATTGTTATTGCCTCTACTTCTTCAACGTTCTTTTATTTTTATCACTTAATCACTGAATAACATTTAGCTGATTATTCTCTGCAAAAAAAAAAGAAAAGAACAGGAATCAAGCAGAGTATGCCAGCTCATGTTTTAAGATAATCCCTCATTATTTTAGGTGTTACCCAGCCAGCAATTCTACATGGGCCTCATATGGGTTAAATATGGGCTCTAAATATGGGTCCCCAATTGGTTTGTCCAGAGGTTCCATAAAGGCCCCATAAAGTGTTTTGACCATACGGGCCTTGTGTGGGATCTACCTGAGCCCTACATGGGACCTATCTGGGCAATAAATATGGGGCCCATATGGTACCTATCAGTCAAAAAACATATATTTTGCCGGACCTTATATGGGACCCAAATGTGCTGGAAAATGGGTACCAAATGGGTTTGTCCGCAGGTTCCACAAAGGCTCCACCTTTGCTTTTTTTGTCAGGCCTTTTTACATTTTTAATTTGAATTGATTTTTGCATGAAAACATTAAAATATAATAAGGGGTTACAAATTTGGGTTGTTTGATGGTATAAAGATTTTTCCACTTATGTCTATATCTGCTGTCATTTTCCTCTTACTTTATTATTAAGGGAGATGAATAAATGTTTTAGACAAATGAATCAACTTCCTGATCAATATCATCTGTTTATGAACAGCTATGTAAACGAAACACCAAAATCCAAAATTTCAATTTAGACTTTAGACAGATTTTATTCGTCATTTTGTTTACACAACTGTAAAACAAAAAAAAAAATCATTTGGAAACAGCTCACTAGACAATTTCAATTCTTTTTAAAAGTGCAGCCTTGAAAAATAGTAAAAATGACTGTAAATTTACAGTTCTAACATTTTTTTTTTCAATTTGTCTCAGTGGCATCTGAACATGATGTGAATCAGCAGTTTAAGTCGAAACTATAAACAGGTAAATGTTTTACGAGACTGGAACACTTACAGGAAATAACTAGATTGACATATTTTTCCAGCGCTAACCTTCTCATGAAAAGAAATGCAGCAAGTCTGTCAGCTTGTTCGGTGTATACAGTGAAGCGGAAGTTCAACCTGTGTCACTCCTTGGGTTTTAAATCTCAGAGCATAAAACACAACCAATTCCATAATTGCATCATTACTTATTTAGGTGAGGTAAGGAAAGGTCCATTTTCACAACTGAAACTTACAGAAAATGCATCAGGGCTAATTTAAGGGTTGAACATGGTGTTTATATCAGTCGGAGTTATGGAGCTTGATTGGGAGATTGCACCTCCATCCGTTTATGCCTTTGTCGTTCTGCTTTAGGCTGTTCTAGTATAAATCCTACTGTTTAAAAACAATTTTGTACACTTTTTACTCAGGTGTGATTTTAAAATTACTTTAAGTATAAAAGTAAAAGTAATGCAGGAAAAGTGTTAAGGACAGATGCTTTACTTCACTAGCATATTAAAGGAACATTTTTCAATTCTGGATGATAACTTAATTTTCTTAGTTGTATAACTTAAATTTAACTTTGGATCATCTTAAAGAACTATTTATTTTGGTATATGGGGAGTGTGACCGCAAAGAAATTAATTGTTTGGATGAAACAAATAATTGTTGATGTTTTTTTTTTGTTTTTTTTAAATACCACAGACCATTAAAAAAACGAGCTTAAATGAAACAAAACTAATAAGTCTATATTTAAAATGTAAGGAGTAGAAAGTATAGATAATTGCAAAATTAAAAAAAAGTTGAGGAGTAGAAGTAAAAAGTTTTCTAAAAAATAATGACTCCCGCAAAGTATAGATAGCCAAAATGTCTACTTAAGTAAGGTAACAAAGTATTTTTACTTTGTACTTGACACCTCTGATGTTTGCCTATTAGGTCACATATTTGATTAAATTCAGAATACTTAATTAGTTTTAGGAATTAAAGATGAACTCTGTACCAAACTATTCCACAGATCAGCAAACCTCCAAATCCTCTGCTTTTACAAACACAAAAACACTTATTGAGGATTTATTCATTTTAGATATTAAATTTTTAGTATCTGTTAAGTTTCCTTTAAAATATGTAATGTATTGATTCAGAGAAGCTTATAAATCAGTAAGTCCCAGCAGTGATGATAGTAGGAGGATTTTTATGAGCTTTGTAGAATTTATGAAAGAGGAAGATGACAGCTTTTGAAAGGTTCTTAGTCACTGTGACAAAGATTCAGATTTGTAAACGGGGACGAGACAATGAGAGGTTGTCAGACGCTGATCGCAAAGACAAAAACACACAGTGTGAAGTCAGGCTGGTTGGTTGACATACCCATCATTCCTCTTTCAGCTGCTCATTCTGACTTACTCACACATTAAACAAAAACACACACAACCTGCTTAACTTCCTTAAGAAAAGCTGACCTTAAAATCAGCATTTTGCAGCATAAATAAAAACTTTTAGCCAAACATTGTGCTACGTTGCATGAATTTGAGTTAGAATCTGAGTCTGTTCCTACAACCTGAATCTATTTCCTTGAAAATTAAGGACTGACTGGGAGTCATCTGCACAGATGCTTTTTAAGAATAATAATTTTCACATTTTAACATCAAACCGGAGCCACAATGGAGCTGTTTATTCTAAGCATTATTATAAAAGTTCCAGCTCTTATTTTGGAAATATGGCAGCATGAATTTGAGCTTGAGCTATTTTGCAAAACAAAATAGAACAGAGAAATCAGTTTCTAGAGGTGCAAAGCTGGTAGAGACATAACCTGAATAGATTTACCGCAATATTGAAGGATGAGTCTACAAATGGTCGGTTCTGGGTGGCTGAATGCAAATGCATGCTAAATACTCTACTATTAGTTTTATTTTTAAACAGGCATTCCTCATCAAATCCGTACTCCAAATGATACAGATTGGACTTTGTAGCTTCATTATAAATAAATCTGAATAGAAAAAGAAAAGGCAGAAATACTTTTTTTATATTGCACAGCATCAACACAAAAACAGGCTTTAACAAAAGAGGAAGAAAGGTGGTGGGAATTAAATGAATCTATGTTATTTAAAGAGAATCCTGCAGAACCGCATTCCTTCTATTAATAGTCCCATAACAGCACGGTGGCATCTTTAAGTCCAAACAAGCTTCCAAACCGGTCAGTTTTAAACCAACAGAACTCTGCTTCTCAGAAATATTGCAGCTGAAGCTTTCAATACTAGAAAACTGTAACACTTTGTTGCAGTCCAACTTTTTAAACTATTTATATTGTCTAAAATCAGAATTCTTTATTATGCCAAATGTTTTATCTAGTCAGATGAAAACTAGAGCATCAAATGAAGTACTTTGGAGAAACTTAATCAGT